GTTTGTTGTTATCCATATTGGGGAGTTCTATGGTAGTGGCACAATCTAATGCATATTGATCTGCAAAAATGGCAATGATGCTTATGTTCTCTTTTTTCCCCTCGCTGCGCACAGTAAGTAATCCTTCAGGCAAGTTGAGAGCGAGAATGATGTGTTCTAGTTTTTGATGTATAGTTTTCCCTTTGACTAAGTGTGCTGGGATGCTAACCTTGTAACGTTCTCGGCCATATCTAATTGTTCTGTTGAATGGGGATCTTGGTCTTGGTCTGCCTTGGGAGTTGCCGGCTTTTCTACCTTTACCTTTCAAAGCTGTAAACCAGTTTAGTTCGGGGTTTCTCTTTCTTCGGTATCTATTTCCTCGTCTGTGTCATCGATCCTGGCTGATGTGAGATTGTTGTTAGTTGTATATGTCTCTTGGTTCTCGTGTTGTTTATCTGTTTCATTGGTTGTTGCAAGATGTGTTTTCACAAGGTCGCTCCATGAAGAGGATGGTGTTGAGAATTCTTGGTTCTGTTGTTGTTGGTTATCTTGTAAGGCTTCTGGTTGTGTGCTGGCGGTGGAGGTTTCGTTTGTGGTTAGTTGGTTGCTTTTGGTAGTTGTGTTTGTCAGTTGAAGTGTGGGTTTCTTTGTTGCTACAGTGGTGGGCTTCTTTGCGTATGGTTGTGTTCTAGGGATGCCTAGGTCTTTGTCTGCTCTCCTTTCATATCTTAGAGTGTGTTCAGATGTAGGAGGAGTGGTACTGGAAGCTTTGGAGCTTCTGTTGTAACTTGACATCTTTCCTTGACTTTCGTTCTGTGAATTTCCAAAAAAGGAAATTTTTTAAGAAATCTGTTGTGTACAGGAAAGAGTTTTTTTTTTTTTTTTTGAATTAATAAAAAAAATCATATTATATATAACAAATTATATATATGTTATATATGTTTACTTATTATCATAAAGAAAATTTAATCGACAATAACATTCTAAATTAAATACAATTTCCAATTACTTACTAATTGTTACTTAGTAATACTAACATAATATGATTTTTGAAAAATGTTTGAATTAAATACAAATACATGTATAATATATGTATCTTTAATTTTTTTTAAAATTATAAAATTTAACCTTTATTTTATTAAAGAAATATATATATATATTTTAAGAAGGCAAATTATATTGTTGTAGTGTGACACAGCGAGTCTGTCGCTTCAATCTGACCTACACCGTGTAATGGTCATAACTCGTCTTTTTTTGAAATAGGCGTATATGTTTTTGGTCGAGTATATATTGTGGATCTGTTGATTTATTATAGTTGTATCAAATGACCAATCTTTTCTCAATTGCTTTACTTGTTACTTTTATACTTCTTTACTATATACTTGATATACCTAATATACCTAATATGCCTGATATACCTAATACACCTGATATACTTAATATATCAAATAGATCTAATTATCTTTTTCTTATTTATCTATTTTTTTGTAATACTATTTTTATCTTTAACAATATTTTTTTTTTTTTTTTTTTTTCTTTTCATTTGTTTAAAAAATTCCTTTATTATTCCTTTTTCCCCTTGCGTAGTTACTACAAGAGAAGGTGATACAATTTGGATTTATGGTCGTAACTGTAGAGGTGATCTGCAGGTTTTGATCCTGCTGGAAATTTGGAATCTTAATTCCATCCACTAGGTGAACAACATTATCACCCCCATAAATCGCATCTAGAGGCTTCGGCTAAAGACAGGTGAGTTGGGTCGAGGAAATTTATACTTTACATAGGTTCTCAACTTGTAATGTTTCTTTATGATTAAATAAATAAACGACACCAACCTGATTGCGGGATTAAAAAAAAAAATTAAAAAAAATAAATTAATAGCAACAAGCCAATATAAAATTATTTCAATATAATATAGCATGAATTTAGAATAGTTTATAAATAGTAAGTCTTAAAATAAGAAATACAAATGTAAACTAAATAAAGTATATTAAGCAAGATTTCATTGGTTGAAAAAAAATTATATACGTACTTATAAATATTTTTATTAAGTTTTAATAATTATATAAATTAATAAAATGTTTTTAAAAAAATTTATTAAAATTAGTATTAATATAGGACCTATAGGTCTATAGCATAATGGTAATGCTTCATAGGTCATCAGGAGAAGGTCTAGGGTTCAAACTCACCTGGTTACAAAAATTTAACACCTTCATGATTGTTGACCGGCTTCCAATACATGTTGTATCCAATCACCGAAAATCATCTATCAAATCAAGCTAGACTGTATGAAGATGGGACCTCTGGTTTTTCTGACGATCGCAGGCTGAAAACAGGTCAAAGCAGGAAAGGTTGCACAAGGCAAGGCTTCTGGTCTAACTCCGGTATAAGCCCACAACTCCAGCTGGAACGGTAGACTCCGTATTACCATCCTTCCTAATCAGGTTGGCTAGTTTCCTAATATAGGTCATACTTAATTAGCTAATATTTCAAACTGGATCAGCAGACTCCGAAATTCGATTGGATCTTCACCTCCCTATTTGATGTTGGCACAATTCGGATTGGTGACCCAATTTTGGGAAAGAGTCAGGTCACAAAGCCAAAAAGGAAACCACTAGGAAGGTTTTTCACTGTTGGTACAGGATTTTCCTTACCTTATATTTACAAGTAGGGAGTCATAAGCATAAACCAGGGTATGGATCCATCTACTTGGTATAAGTTGATATTCTGATAAAAAAGGACAAGTAGTATGAGTTAATATTAGCAATAGTTAATAATAGACTGTTTATGTATAGTAATTGTGATCTTAATTGATTTAACAATAAAATTCACACATGTATCGCAACTTAGCCCTTAAAAAAAAAAAAAAAAAAAAAATTAGTATTAATATAGTTTTATATTTAAAAATATTTTTTTTTAAAATTAAAATAATAATTAATTATACTTTTATTTATAAGAAATTACTTTATAATAATTTGATAATATTACAAATATTATAACTAATTTATATTTTTTTTTATTAAAAATAGTTTAATACAGAACTCAAAAAAATAGATTACCTATTCTGTTTTTTTTTTCTATTAATTATTCAAGCAGTAGTAAAAAGGTTGTCAAAATTTATACAATCTTGAGTAATGCCTAATAAAGAATTAGAAAAATTTATAAAATTTAAATATATGAAAGTACTGTAATTAAATACAATCAAATATCTTTATATTAATATTTTTTATATCTATATTTATTAAAATCTTATTATATATATATTTTTTAAAACTACTTTTAATTAAAGTTATTTTTTTATATTGATATATTTTTTTAATACTAATATTTTTAAAAAAAGAAATTGTTTTTAATTAAAACAATTTCATATATTTTTTATTAAAAAAATCAGTTATATTAATATAAAAAATTTAATTATATACAGATTTGTCTTCAAGTTATAATTGAGATTTGATATACTTGCTTTTTAAAATTAATTTGATATATGACAGATGGAAAGAAGAAGTTAAATTTTTTTATATATAAAAGTACTATAGCCACTTTTTATAGGTTGGATTCTAAATTATATAAAAAGTTTAATATATTTATTTTTCAAGTATGATAGAGATATCTAATATATAAAGTTGTATTAAAATTTCATTAAGACATTGTTACCTAATCATATATATAGACTTATATTGTTAAGGAGTAAACAAGAAACTTTTATTATTATTATTAACTTTGTTTATAAAAGTAACTGGAATCTTTGATTATTTATTATTATTATATTAAATATTTCAAATATTAGTATAATATTTATAAAAATTTATATTAACATTAGTTACTATAGTTACTATTCAACTAAATATTATAAAATGCAACTTCTTGAAAATTTGAATAACAATAGTTATATAGTGACTTTTTAAATATATCTAGTTTAATTATTAAAAAATAAACAATATCAAATATAATAATAATAACTATACTGATTTTTTGAAAGAGATAAATACTTTATTTTTTTTTCTAAAGCTTATAACTTGAGAAAAGCCATTACTTTTTAATATGGTTTTTGAAAAAACAAAATTAATTAAATAAAAAATAATAATATAAAGATAATAATTTAAGAAAAAAAAATCTCAAAAAAAAAAACTTTAAAAAAAAAAATTTAACTTTAACAAGAAAAAAAAAGGAAAATAAAAGAAAGGAAAGAATAATATTAAAAAATAAGTTTATAAAAAGGAAAATAAAAGTAAAAAAAGAAAATAAATAAATAAATAAAAGAAAAAGTAATAATAGGAAAAAGAATAAAAAAGTTTTTTTTTTAATAGTTTAGTTTTTTATATTTAAAGATATTATATTAATATAAATATAAATATATTTAATTAACTGAAATATATAATATAGTAAATATAAAAGCTATTTATAATATTGATTATATAATATCTTATTTTAATAAAATAAATAAATATTTAATTAACAAGTATATATTATAAAAATTTATTAAATATTTTAAAAAAATTTAAATACAAATATTTTTATAATTCTTTAATAAAAATAAATAAAACCAATTAAAATTATGTTTAATTCATTATGTAAAAAAATTTTTAAATTTAATAATAAAATTACAAGGTTTGAAATATTATAAAAGTTATTATTATTACAAAAAATCTATAAATATATATATATAATTTAAAATATATATTAGTAATTATTTAAAAAAAATCAAATTCAAGTTTAATTAAATAATATTTTTTAAAATGATTTAAAATAATACTTAAAATTATATATTATATTTATTTTAATATTCAAAATTTTTTTAAAAAGTATTCCAAGTTGTATTGCTGCTGTATATAATATTTAATAATTAAATTTGTTTATATAATTGCACCTAATGCTTATCTTATCTTAAATATATTCAAGATATATTGTATATATTGTAAATAATTTTGTGTTACCTGGCTGTACAGATAAATTCAAACCAAATTTGATTGGCTTATCAAAAAGTAAAATGAGCTAGAAACGAATTTGTAGATGACAAAAAAATGTCAGATTCAGAAATAGAAGAGCGGTATATATATATACTGAAATTTTTTAATTTTTGTATTTAGATCTTTAATTGAAATTAAAATATTTCATGTATGAGTAGTATAAATCCCAACATTCTAATAACCGGTACTCCAGGAACCGGAAAAACAACATTAAGTAGACTGGTGGCTGAATCAACAGATTTAGCATATATTAATGTAGGTGACTTGGTTAAAGAAAGAGGGTTACATCAAGGCTTTGATCAAGAGTTTCAAAGTTATATACTTGATGATGATAAGGTAATTACTAAATTCAATTCGTAAATCATTCCAGCATTAGATTATTAAAACATTTTATGAACATAGGTTGTAGATGAACTTGAAGATGCATTGTCAAAAGGGGGAAATATTGTAGATTTTCACTCCTGTGAGGTATTTCCGGAACGTTGGTTTGATTTAGTATTAGTCCTAAGAACTGATAATACTCTACTTTATGATCGATTGGAAAACCGGTATGGATTTTTCATTCATTAATAAAATATTATTATTATTATTGATATTGTTTATCTTTTGCTTAGAGGTTACTCTCAAAAAAAAATTACTGAAAACATTGATTGTGAAATATTCCAAGTAATATTAGAGGAAGCAAAAGAATCATATCCACTGGAAATTGTTGTTGAGTTACCAAGTAATTCATGGCAGGACATGGAAAGTAATGCATCAAGAATCAGAGAGTGGGTGAAAAATTGGAAGGAAAGAAAGAATGGACGATAATTGAATTGATCAAAGTCGGACGCTAGTATATAACTACCCGGAACACACAAATTGTTAAATACATACTGTAATCTTAATTCAATTCATTATTGTTTTTTGCTGTAGAATACCTAGTATCTAAGGTATCTTTTACGCGTTCTAACATTTCTCTAGCATCAGAAAAGAAATCCAGTAACATTGGGCTATTAGATGAAGCCTGATTGGTTCCGTACATCAACAACAACTATAAAAATTAATTTGAAAAATTAAGAGTTAATTATAGAATGTGATTCAAATGAAATAATTTAAAAACATGTAAATCATACCTCCAAAAATATCCGTCGACTTTCTTGATGATCAAATAATTCAACGAATTCTTTCAACTTTTGTATTAAGTGAATTTCAAAAATTAGATAATTTTTAAAATAAATTACCAAAAAAAAAAAGAACTCAACTCACCCTTTGATTCAAAGGCGTCAAATCTCCGCCATTGAGAATGAAATCTTTAACCACTGAGATTTTTTCCCGATCCGATTTTGAAGTTTTGACCTTATTCCAGAGACTCCCAGTTACAGACATCTCAGGATTTATTTCTGCCTCATTATTTATATGAGGATTATCCTTATTTTCCTAACCAAACATTATTATAAAGTCTCAATGATCAAGATCTTAAAATTTAAATACTGCTGTTTTCCATCCTTCATTACCTTAAGACGACGCAACCGAATCCAACGCCTTCTACGAACAAATGACCGAAATGTTTGGTAATGACCTGGTTAAATTATTTATTAAATATAATGATAAATCACTGCCTGCTCACTAAAACAATTTCTTACCATGCCAGTTTGCACAATGAAAAGCAAATGCATATTCCCAGCCTTCTATAAATCGAAATAATTTATCTTTAGATGAATTTTTAAAAAAGTTATTGAATGAAGCATGGAAAAGTACCTTCATCAACATCATCGGACATATCGATCATCCACTCTTTGTGAACCTACGGCACTTAATTGTACTTAAAATCAATAATTTATATTAAATTCACTCCAAAAAACAACTCACTTACAACGCACCCATTCCCAGGATGGGTTTGGCAATTGAAAAGTGTAAATATCCGTCAGGGAAAACCTATAGCAATAGAAAAGACAATAGAAATATTTTAGTTTATAGAAATTAGCATTATCAGTATTTTATGATAAGAACTTGCTTTTGTTTATTATCGGTCCACGGAGGCGGGTCAGTTGGACTCAAGGCCTTAGAGCTGAACTTTGGTACTCCTAAAACGAACAGTCTGTAGAGTATAACAAATAGTAAGCATGTGGATCAGCGAAAAAGTTGTCAACCGTTGTTTCTTACCCTCGCTGATTTTCATATAAAATATCATATTCATAATTTGGAGTGTGGTTATCCGCGTTGTTAGTTTGTTGAATGCTTTCCAATGTCTGTTAGATGAAATGAGAAAACATAAGTGTGATATTGAATACATTATATAGCAAGACGATCTGTGCGAAATTACGTCTTCTCTAATAATCTTTATTTCGTCTGTTTCGTCCATGGCAAGTACAATTTACACAAATACAAATCCGTAAGTAGGACAATAAATAATCAATACTGTGGTAACAGTAAAAATATTAAATGAAATTCTTAATTATATGCAGTATATATAGTATGTAATTAAAAATAATCAAAATTGTAAAAGAATAAATATTTTGAATATTTATGTGATATGTTTAAGAATAAATTTATTATAGACACCGTAATTTGAATTTTTATACAGTACTTCTGTTTGCAAATAATTTATATTTAATTAATAATAACTGGCAATATCCTAACAACGAATTAGCTCGAACTATCAGTTATTCCACCATTGGAGATAGTATATGCTGCACATTTTTTACAGAAGAAAAATGGAATTAATTTTTGCAATTTCACGTATGAGTTTATAGAATGAAAATTATACTTGCGAGCTTCGGCCTCGGGCATGTCAGGTGAATCATAAACCTTGGCAACACGCTCGTCCCCACGTCCTTTTCTCAAGTACAGACGAACTGTTGAACTAAAATTTAGTAATTTGTAAGTTATGCACTCATTAGTTAAATTTTTTAGGAGATATATAATATTTGGAACTTACGCGTGAGCAAGGACATGACCACCAATTGGTTTTCGGGGATCACTTACAAACATCATATTGCTTCCAGGGTCAGCTTGAATCTGCGAAAGTAATTAGGAACCAACCAATAATGTTACGTAGACAAAATATGAGCAACTTTTAAAAACTAACTTGGTTTGTAATGTATATGGCAACATTATATTCTTCTGAAATTTTTGTTAACCGGCTAAGCATTATATTTAACTTCTGTTGTCTCTCAGCAAGTTCACCGCGGCCAGCATAATCTGTTCTAAAAAGAGCAATTATCGAATCGATTACCTGTTAAAATGCGAAGAAATATTTTGGTATTGGTTTTTCGGAAATAAATAATGGGCATTTTCGCATGAGAAACTGGAACTAATATAATCATACCAATAATCGATAAACACCTCTTTCTTCGGCAAACCTAGCAGCTAGTTCGATAATCAATTCCATTTGATGCTCCGAAGTATAGGCGCGGGCAAATATAATATTCTCAAGTGCTGCCTCATGATCAATTCCAAATCGGGCTGCAATCGATTTGATGCGCTCTGGACGAAAGGTTCCTGAGCTCATAATGACTGGTTAGTATTACTCATAGAATATTCATGATAAAAAATATATTACCTTCTGTGTCAATAAACGCAGCCTAAGTATTATATGAAAATCGATATATAGATATTAAAAAGCCTATTAATAAATGATAAATTTCTAAGTAAGAAATACCTTTCCATTCGTTCCACCCATTGCAGAAGGGAGCTGCGCAACGACACAAAGTGTATGGGCAATTTGAGTTTTTCCCGTCCTGAATTCACCAAATGCTTCGGTTATGGACATGGTGGGAACCCCACCTATGCAAAGAATTGATTTAAGTACAAAAACGACGTGTTGACTTGAAAATTTGGAAAAAAGAAAGATAAGTATATTACCACCCAAAAGCGCGTCCAATGCTTTACTGCCTGTTGATATATACATCACCTTCGATCTGACTTGGGAAAATTCCGTGGCTGTCATGAAAGAAGCCGACTACGTGTCGAAGGATGATGTATTGTATGATGTCACGTGATAAAGTAGATGTCGACTAAAAAAACAATGCTACCTGAAGCTTAGACGCAGTTTCTTTGAGTTTATCGACTTTTGCCTCTGAAAGACCTTTAATCCTGCAGAGATTCTTACGGGTCGTCATGTGAATGGCCTGGTTGAAGTCAATTTAAGACATTAACATTTTGAAATCAAATTAGGATTATCGAAAAAAAGTTGATTTGTTACCCGAACTGTACAAATGCCAGCACTTTTCAGCTTTGCAATATCAGCCGAGCCGATTCCATGGTTCTGCAGTTCGTCGATATCGGTGAAGAAAAGTTCCTGGGTTGTTAAATTAAATAAAAAGTTTTATATTAAGTGTATCAATGAAACGCGTTTTTTAAAAAACTCCAGAATATAGTTACCTCCTCTTCTTCTGATTCCTGGAGTTCAGCTTCTTGATCTGGCACCTGTTCAAATTCGCTCATTTCGTTGTAATAAAAAGTATTAACGAAGTAAGAAAAAGAGAGAAAAAAATAATTGCAAAGATGAGACTAGAAACTAATTAATACTTTTTTAAGTCATGTGATTTACATTAAAGTATGTTATTAGAGTATTAACATTAGAAGTTTAAGAAAGTTTGATATTACATCTCATTCTGACGTGTTAATGATTTTCTATTAATCGAGCATATTTATAAATAACCAAAAAAGTTTGGTTTTATTGAATGAGTACTTATCCGAAAACTTTGAAGCAGTCACGGAACACCAATGATCGCCTTTTCATGAGATTTCAGAAAGGATTGTTAATTACATCGATTGCAAGTTGTGGAATATATATAAAAATATCGTATAAGATACTTGTTTTAAATACTTACATCTTTTAATAATAAAAGCAGTGTAATAGTAATTTTTTTCGTTTTTAATTTATTTGTTAACAAATCATTTTATAAATTATCACGTGTTTAAGTGATCATGTTAATTGCATTGATTCGTTATTTTAGGTTAACAAAGTAATTAAATCTTCTGAACTTATCTATAATGGTTATGACGCGTAATTAAGTCTAAGGAAACAAAAAAAAAATCGCGAAAAATAAATTTAAGCACGTATTCTGAAAGGAATTTTATATGTAACATTTTGATTTTGGTTCTCTATCATCATTTACCAAGGAAAATATCGAATGTAATTAATGGTAATTCTTAGGCAGTATAATTTCGTTCCTTAACAACATTAAACAAAGCCTCTCCAGAGGACACAATGCAAAGGAAAAAATTATGTATTAAAATTATTTTATTTATCAACCCATATTTTGACAGTTTTGTCGTTTCCAATCGCGCCAGACGCGATGATATCTTTTGTCGGATGGCATGCAATAGTTAATACAACATCTAGATATGAAATGCAAAGAAAATATGAATTAAAAGAACGAAATCAATAACTGATCTAAAATGGTTTTAAATCTCAACGTTACCAGTGTGACCTTCTAATTTTTGGACAATTTCTTTGCTTTGCAAATTCCATATGTAGATACAATTATCTTCACTACCACTTACGATCCATTTTCCGCCAGTAATTGAGAAACTCGAGAACACGCAGTATTTGTTATTTATGTGACCAGTATATGTTTTCAAACATTTCGAAGAATGGAAGTTCCAGAGACGCAAGGTATTATCGAGAGTTGAAGCAAGAATGTATTTTCCGTTAGGTGAAAATTTTACAAAGGAACTAAAAGAAAATTAATTTTGGTATGACATTGAATTAACAATCATAACTCATGTTAATAATATTAAATTCGTACTTACACTGGCGGATTATCATCATCTACTATCGTTTTTAAGCATTGACCAGATGCAGTATCCCAAATACGACTGTATTTATTAATCAAAGCGATAAATAAACCGTGTTTAAATATTCATCTTATCGATAACTTCTATTAACTTGTCTTACATTAAGCCATCATAACTGCCGGAAACAATCATCGTTCCGTCTCGGTTAAAATGTACTGCAGAAACCGGATCAGAGTGAGCAGGCAAGATCTTCAAACATTTTCCTATAAAGCGTAATCTTGTTATTTCCCAGAACTTGAATTACAATGATTCATGGATTAACTATTAGTCATACCATTCCTAACATCCCAGATCCTCACACTTTCGTCGAAAGATCCAGACACAATTAAACTCGATTGAGGATTGAAATTCACACAGAACACGTAATTCGTATGACCTCTGAGCTCTTTTACAGCAGAATTCTAAATAAATAAAATGGTTTATTTGCCATAAATAACAAAATTTCTTTAATCGTTACGCATAATTAACTCCTGAAATACCTGATTCATATTCCAAATTCGTATTGTCGTGTCGTCTGAACCTGAGCACAATGACATGGAGTCAACTGCCCACGCTACGTCCGATATACCTTGGGTATGACCCTCAAATGTTTTTTCGTGCTGACCAGTATATGCATTCCAGATTCTTATCGTTTTATCAGCAGCTTTAATTATTTATACCAACAAATCAGGACAAAGCCGAAGGCAAAGGTCTTTTTAGAAACCCAACAGTTAGGGTGTCTCTGTTTTAAATGATTACTCACATGCACTAGCAAGCCATTTTCCATCTGGGGAAAATTTGACACTTGAAATAGATTTTTTGTGCCCGACCAAGCTGTGTGTTAGTTGATAAGAAGGTTTTTTTTGATTCGAGGAGCTATTTTGTGCAGCAGGTAAAGCACCATTACTGTTTCCATTAACAGCGACAGCATGGCAGTCTTGATTATCGGAAGGCTGTTGGTGAGAATTTGCTTCTGCCATTGCTATTATCATTGCGTATAGTTTTCTTCCTGTTTGAGTTTTATTGGTGTTTGTTTTTGTTTTTTTTTTGAAAAAAAAAATTTTTTTATTTCACGTGTTCACCGATTCTGGTGATGTGCAAATTGCATACTTGTATTTTTGAAAGTTTAAAAATATAATTACTATTATTTGTAATTACACAAGTATAATTTAGTTTTTTTTTTAATAATTTCTAATTTATTATTAAAAATTTTTTATTTTCTTGTTAATTAAATAATTATTCACTGATTAAATTTATACTTTATTTTAATACAAGAAATAAAATAAATATAAAGAAATTAAAGAAATTAAAGAAATAACGAAGTTGAACGGCAAACATCTTTTTCTTAAAACCAGGATTATACAATTGCGCATTTGAAATTATAAAAATGTCTCAGAAAATTCGCAATTAAAAAATGAGTAAGAGTATACAAAGCTTTTTCAAAAAAAATTAAAAACCAGTAGCGATTAAAGAAGTTGAGATTTTTGATAAAACTACTGCAAATGTGTTTCTTAATGAGTTGTTGGATTTATTTTATCATGCATATATAGTAAATACGTCTAGGTGATAACTAACGTAAAATATATATTATTCGAGGAGCTTAAGTTGCATCAAGATGTTGACTTTGATGATAGCATTTTACGACTTTACAGAATTTCTGAGAAAATCATTTTAAGTGTATAGGCACATATTACCGAAACTGTACTAATAAAATATTATGCAGATCCGAACTTCTTATGGTCATTAAATTATTAAACTGGAATGATAAATTGCGCATGGCTAAATAAATTACTATTAATAGACATGTTTATATTTTTCTATTACATCGATATTATTGATATATTTATATCGTTTATTTTAGCATCTAGGGAATATTCTCACCCGTCTCAGCAACATAAAACTTCTCGATTTTGGGCTGTCTAAGAAACTATTAGTTGCATCACCACTTGGAGTTAAACCATATATTGATCCACAATATTTTAAAAGGATCTTATCATAAAAAACCAAGAAATCAGATATTTACAGTTTAGGAATTTTGCTCTGGGGCTTACAAGCGGATACGCACCTTTTAATTGGAATGGATACGGCATAACGTTAATGCTCCATGTTTCGGGAAGTCTCAGAGAGACAAAGATGGAAGGGACGCCTCAAGGATACTGTATATCGATATTTACGAAGATTAGCTTATAGAGAAATAATTGTATTCCATTAATTATGTTTACACAGTCTCATTTATATGTTACTATTTTTTTTTTTCCTTTTATTAGCCTGCTGGGACAAAAATACAGACAAAAGGTCCGAAATCGATCAATTTAAAAACTCCAGAGGAACTTGAATTTTATGACAGTGAAAATCTCATTGGTAGTGTTAAATATCTTAGGATAGCGAGAAATGTTGTTAAGGATTTTGAACCTAATACGTTAAATGAATTATAGCAATTTAATGTTGATTAATTAAGTTAAAAACTTGTATTAACACGTTCATTAATAGTAATCAGACGACATCGGACATATTTTCAAATAATTGATTAATCGCCAAGAAATTCCGCAAAATTCAGTGACTCTCGGAATTCTTTATGAACTTGAAATTGGAAATACAAAAAAATGAAGAAAAAGCATTTCATTAGTATCTGAAATCTGTTGAAGGTGGAAATCATCTGGGACAGAATAATCTTGGATATTGCTACCGCAATGGAATTGGAACTATGAAAGGCGAAGAGAAAACATTTCAGTGGTACATAAATCAATTAAGGGTGGAAATCCTAGTGGACAAAATAATCTTAGATATTGTTATAATTATGGAATTGGAACCACTCAAGAATACGAAAAGATATTTCAGTGGTACCTGAAATCTGATGAAAGTAGAAACACTACTGGACAATATCATGTTGAAATTTGTTATCTGGGACTATGAAAAATAAGAAGAAAGTAAAATATTGATTTGAAAAATCTGAAAGGTAAATTATAAAGTTTATATATACTTTTATATTTAATACAATAATTTTTTTCTGATAGATATTGTATAAATATTTTATTTATTTTTTGTTAACTACAATAATAACCTTCCATTCCAAAGATTTTTAACAAAAATATAAGTTTTCCAAAAATTTTCAACTCAAAAAATTCTATAATTCTTTATTTAATTAAATTTGTTGATACAATATTAACAGAGCCTTGACACATTAGCTTTAATATATATTTTAAGATAAATTAATAGCAACAATTTAATATGAAAACAATTTAATATAACTAAAAATAGGTTCTTAAATTAAAAGCAAAGATATATTTCAAATATCTTTCATTATTAAAAAAGCTTTTTTTAAAATATAAAATCAAAAATAAAATTACTTACAAATGTTTTTTACAATTTAGATTACATAATTCAAATGTTTTTTGAATCACATTCTTATTAAAATAATGAATAAATAATTATATCTCTTTAAAAAAAAACATAATTGATTTATAAAATTCTATATACTAAATAATCTAGAAACTTATTCTTAAATATAGTATATACAATATATTTATAATAATTTATAAATAGTAAATTTTATAAAAACTACAAATAAACTAAATAAAATATTAATTAAATTTAATTAATTAAAAAAAACAATTTTAAAAATAATAATAAATAATAATAAATATTTATTATTTATTATTGTAAACTAATTATTAAAGTATTTAAGATTCTTAATAATATTATTTTAATATTAAATTTATTATAAGTTAATATTACTTTGATATTATTTCAATATCAATTTAAAACTTTAATTATAATATTAAAAAAATTATTAAATTTTTTAAATTTTATAAAAAGTATTGCAACCAACCCAATTTTTAATAAATAATTTTAATATTTTAATTATATATATAACTTTTATTTATTTATTATTAATTTTTTAAAAATTTTCTTTTATAATAATTTTTTTAAAGAAATTTTTTTTATATATTATATGAGCTATAAATTCAATAATAATAAAATCTTTAAAAATTATTATTATTTTGAAATAAAATCTTTAATCAAAAATAAAGTTTTTAATAATATTATTTTAATACAACAACAATATTGAATTTATTAAAAGTTTAATATAATAATTTATAATTTATATATTAAATTTATTATAAGTCAATATTATTTCAATATTATTTTAATATTAATTTATAACTTTAGCCAAAAATTAAATAAATTTAAGTTTTATTTATTTTTTAATTATATAAAAAAAAACTTATAATGATTTTTTTTTATAATTTTTTTTTATAATTTTATTTTTATATACTTTTTCTAAAACTTATTAATACTATTTTTACAATAACTTTTAATATTATAATTTATTTCTAATGTTATACTTAAATAAAATTATTGAATTTTTTATTTGTTTTAATTAATTTTTTTTAATTAATTTTTTACAATATATAATATTATATTACTTTAAACTTATATAATTTTAATTTAATTTAATAACAATCAATTTAGTTTATATTTGTTCAAAATAACAACAATAATAATAAATAAATATATTTAAAATAAAATAATATTAGATATAAGTTTTTATTAATAAAATCTATAGATCTATAATATAGTAATAGTATTCTATAGATTATTAAAAAAAAATCTAAAGTTCAAATCTACTTGATTACAAAAATCTATTATCTTTATAATTGATTAGCTGACTTTCAATACATGTTATATCTAATTAGTTAAAAATTAATTTTAAATTTAGTTAGATTGTATAAAGATAAAACCTTTGGTTTTTTTAATAATTGTAAATTAAACAAGTCAAAACAAAAAAGATTATACAAGAAAAGCTTCTGGTTTAACTTCTATTATAAGCTTATATCTCTTTATAACATGATAAACTTTATAATAAAAATATATTACTTCAATTAAACAATCTTAAAAAGAATTACTGTATAAACACAAATATATAAATAATACTAATAATTACTTTATAGGAGTTATGTTATACTTGATATTTGTATCTCTAGATTTGATAGCTTAAGTCAACCAAAGGTTTATAAAATATCTATTGAAAGATTTAAAAATTATATTTTACTTGATTATTTAATCTTCAAATTTGATAGTATATATCAATTATATAAATAACTCTTAAAATAGTTATTAAAAAGTATAAAGAAATAAAATTCAAAATAGTATTGTAACTATATAAGCTAGAAATATAAATGTGATAAAAAATCTAATAATAATTAATCTGTTAATTATAATCAGATTTTGATAAAATTGAAAATAAACTGAAGATAGGATTTTTACCCCTTAATGATTTTTTATTTGAATATGAATCTATTTTCAATATATAAGTTAATCTTTCTAATATAAAAAAAAACAAATAGTATTAGTTAATATTAGTAATATAATTAATAGACTGTTTATATATTATAACCAAAATTGTTTTGGTCAGATGTTTAAATAGTAGTTTTTAAAAAAAATTAGAGATTATATAGAACTATTATTGTTTCAGAGATAATTACTTACAAATATTTCAAGATATGGTAAAGATTTATATAATCAAAATATATTTAATAAAATAATAATATTTATTAAGATATAAAACAGAATTTCAAACAATTATAAAAGTAAGTTATCCTAAACTAACTAAACAATTCATGGACAGCAACTACTTATATAGTGTTTTTTCCTATGGGCTAACTGATATACATATTGCAATATAATAATTTTATAAATTAGACAGTCTTGTGAATCCTTTAAATCTTGTAAACTGCTTAAACCTTTTGAACTGTTCAATCTTTACTATACAAACTATAAATAACTATATATGTTATAAATAAATGAATAAATATTATTGCTAAAAATAAAATAAGAAATAATTCAATTAATCAGAAATAATTAGAATAAAACTAAGTTATCTATTCTATTACAATAAAATATATAATCTTTATTAATTAATAAAAACAATATATATATTATAATTTAGTCTAAAAAAAAAAAAGTAAAATTTTATTAA